GGATAGTACAGTTTCTTGGACCAACCATTACACTTGCACCATCTGTACTAAGCGCTATAACATTTTTCAGGGGGATACTATCTTCCACAAAACACTGATTAATGTGCTCAAAAGTTGTATCAGTAGTAGCTTCTGTAAGATGAACAATGTGGTAAAACTGGTACTGGATTTTACCAGCATCTTAATCAAATAATCGTAATAATGACCACCATGGCTAATTTTTTGGTTGTCGAGATGTCTGTAGTTTCATCAATCAGTAATGAAAAGTGACAAGAGGAAAGTTTATGGCACAACAGCTGATTATTGCACGTTGCCAATTACATTAGCATGGACCCTTTGGTATGCTTACAAGAGAGGGAATTGCAATGTTGGAGTCTGGAAGCCAGTCAGCCATGCAACCGTAGTGGAAACATTTTTTGGCAATAAAATTGGTTATTTTCAACTCAGGTAAACAAGTTTTTATTTATTAGTCAACACTTCTGAGTCTGTGCTTTGTTTAGCAAACGTAATAATTCCAGACTCCTTGGACTTCATGGACTTCAGTATTTGAACTACAGATGACAACCAGTATTTGAACTACAGTTTTGTTAGCCATGAGCCTAAGAAGGAGCAATGTCTCAGTTTCTTCTGTTTTTTTCACAGGTGGCTCAGGCCTTGACCCTTCCATTCGTAAAGTGCAAATCAGCACACTGCCACTGCAGTCTTGTGTCTTTTCTATTTTTCTCTCTCTCTCTGTCTTCTCTTTCTTTCTCTCTTCATTTCTTTCCTCCCTCTGTACTCTCTTTCTTTCTCCATCTTCTCTTTCTTTCTCTATCCTTTTCCTTCTTTCCTTTCATTCTTGCTTTATTTCTATGCCTCTCCTTCCTTCCTTCTCCTCGCTGACGTGGCCTACCACTTTGTTGCTCGCAATTACTTAAAATTTGTTATAATATCACTAACAGTTGACCGTGGAATATTTAGTAGCAAGGAAATTTCACGGATGGACTTATTGCACAGGTGCCAACCTATCACGGTACCACGCTTGAATTCACTGAGCTCCTGAGAGCAACCCATTCTTTCACAAATGTTTGTAGAAGCAGTCTGCATGCCTCGGTGCTTGATTTTATACACCTGTGATCATGGAGATGATTGGGTCACCTGAATCCAATGATTTGGAGGGGTGTCCCAATACGTTTGGCAATATAGTGTAGCTTTTCTTATTGTCATTCTGAAAAACTTAAAACAACAAACCATCATTTAGACTACAACCAGTGGGAATTACCAATAAATGCGTGTTCAATCACCATAGAGGCCAAAACCATGTGAAAAGTGTGTGCTTATCAAATAAAGTGCTGAACATACAAATATATCACAGTCAACATTCATGTAGAATTCACGTTTTCAGCTTGGCACTATTGGTGGTATCAATTTGGGATTAAGATGGCGATTAATGTGGACTCTACATGAATGTGGACTGTGATATATTTGTATGTTGATAGTGTAATTTAGCACTGTTAATTAATTTGCAGCACTGGGTTCTGGCATTAGCTACAGGTTTAAGACAATGCTACACCTTTTTCAGATCTCCTAATGTACAGAATATAATTTCAGCAGCAGTCCCTGGTCAGCACTCTTCTCCTGGGCAGCACAGTATCAAATAGCTCCAGGAAACTCGACTGCAACCTTGTGGTCCTTTCTCCCTTTCCTCTCTGCAGCCTCCCCACACCACTTCTTGCTCTGTTGCATCAGCTGATAACCGTCCTCCAAGATGGCTGCCCCCTACAATGGAGACAAGCATTGAAAACCGGTCTCTTCAAAGAAGATTGATGCACTTCTGCATTAATGAATATTCAGTTTAAGCATACATCATTAAAAAAAGGTGTGTTTTTTTTTTTTTTTAAATCATACTAACCTAGGTGGTACAGCACTGATCCAATGCTGCATCTGTCCCCGCCGCCTCTATGGGTGCAAACTGAGTGATCAGACACTGCTGATCGCTCAGTTCTTCCTGTCACTTTGAGCAGAGAGCCGGTGACTGTCAGTCACCACTGTCTGCTCTGCCCACCCCCCAGCACTGGGATGTATTGGGGGCGAAGTGGCTGGCTCAGGCTCTCAGCTGAGCCAGGTGCCAATCAAGACGTCTTGGTGGATTCCAACTTTAAAGTCGGGATCTTTCCCCAGCCTGGTCTGGCCGAGTGACTTCAGCCAACAGCAGACTTTAGCCTACTGTTGGCTGAAAACGGGTCACAGGAGTGCAGAACGAATGCACTCCTGTGATCCACAGAAGTACAGAGAGAGCTTTGGCCTTGCTTCTCCTTTAATCATACACAAAGAAGTCTCATACGCATTAAAGAAAAGAAAAACAGTATACCTCCACATGCTATTTAAATTGTACAAGTCCCTCATCACAGGTTTATTTTACCTAGTCTGGAGTTCTAAGCTTCAAACTACCACCCAGATTGTCCCTGGACATTTTACCTGGCAGTTTTTGGTGCTGTACCATAAGACCATTTAACACTAAGCATTCCTGTAACCCACGTTAACCCTCCTTATAACCCTGACACCAAGCCTCACTCTAACCATCCCTGTAATCAAAATCCTAACCTTCAAATTAACCTTCCCTGTAACCTAAACTTTAAAACTACCCCTCACCCTGTAGCCCCATTGTTCACACTAACCATCTTTATAATCCCACCCTAATGCAAACCTTTCTTGAAGCCCAAAACCTAATACTTACTCTTACACTAGCCCTTCCTATAAACCAAATCCTTATGCTACCCTGACCCTAGCTCCCCCTGTAAGTTCAACCCTGACCCTAACACTAACCCTCCCTGCATTCCCAAACCTAACACTAAATCAAAGGTCTTTAACTGGGCCTGGTGAGACATTACGCCCTCTGGAACTACCTTTACTGTTAAGTACTGACTTTGAAGGTTCTCTTTACAACTGAAGTATGCTTGATGCCTTAGTTATAAGGTGGCTTGAAGGGACTCTGTTGTGGTGTCTAGCATCACACTCCAGAGAGTTAATATAAAAATTCAACCCACATTATGTAATCTGTCCATTTTCCGAGCTTTGTTGAGAAACACGAGGCTAAGCAGACATGACCATGACTGACCTACACAAATGCTGCATCTCAGATTTCACAACATAATCATTTCATCCAGCAAAGCCAGCACTTAATGAGCAAATACATAACATTAACTGAAGTACTGCCTGAGCATTTCCCTCCAAGCTATCATTTGGTTTGCATAACATATTTTTCTAAATTAATTAATTATTATTTCATCCCTGTGCTGTTATGGATAATTATATTGGGGTGGCACTGTGCTAATCTCACAATTGTAAAACTGTTTGATTTTAATATTTTAAAAGTATCCTGTCGAGAAAAGAACATGAGAACTGCCATTGCTGACTTGTTTTTGAAGGTGCAGGTTCCAAGGCTGTCATTTCTTCCTTACTTTACTACTTGGTAAGTCACTGAGCTAGGACAAGTATACCCTTATCAGGTACTGGAATATTTATTGTGTATACTGTATGCTTTCTGCGGGCTGGTGAAACCGTAGAAGTTAACGCAAGGATAAGGATTACACCCCCAAAAGCATGCACCTTAAAAAACAAGTCAGCCATAGAGCCACAATATTTCTATCCATTCCCTTTAATTAATGTGCCTTAAATATAATTGCCTGGAATCATATCTATTTCTAATGCTGGGAATACACAAGGAGATTTTGGTAATATGTTTACGTCCCAATATGACTCACGGTACTGTAATAATAATCCAGTAGCGGTTAGCACACCTTTGCCTGGCAGCACTAAGATCGCTTCGAATCCCAGCCATGACACTACCTGCCTAGAGTATGCATGTTCTCCCTGTGCCTGCCTGGGTTTCCTCTGGGTACTCCGATTTCCTCCCACACTCCAAAGACATGCTGGTAGGTTAATTGGTTCCTGTCTAAATTGGAGCTAGAATGTATGAATGTTAGTTAGGGACCTCAGATCCTTGAAGGCAGGGAGTGATGTGAATGTACAATATATTATTATTATACAGGATTTATATAGCGCCAACAGTTTGGGCAGAACTTTACAAAATGAAGGTAGACATTACAGTTACAATACAATTTGGTACAAGAGGAAACAGAGGGCCCAGCTCGTTAGAGCTTACAATCTAGAAGATATATATGTGTAAAGAGCTGTGTAAATTGACAGCGCTATATACCGTATTTGCCGGCGTATAAGACGACTTTTTGACCCTTGAAAATCTACTCAAAAGTCGGGGGTCGTCTTATACGCCGGTATACGGCATACTGACACTTTTTAGGGGGGCGGCGCAGTGCCGCCGCCGCCCCCCCCCCCTTCCAACAGAAGGGACACTAAGTACAGGGGTGGGCAGGGGCTGGTGTTTCCTACCTGGCTCCGGTCCCACGACGATCCGGTCCAGGAAGCGCGGCTGCTCCTGCGGTTCGGCCACTGGATGTTCGCGCGCGGCTGCTCGGCTCCGCCTCCTCACCGGTGATTGGCCGCCAGAACTGTAGCTCAGGAAAGGCACACAGGCGGCCAATCACCAGCGAGGGGGCGGAGCCGAGCGGCCCCATGAAAATCGAGTGCAGGAGCAGCAGGTAAGTGTGCCGTGTAGAGGTGCTGCTGCAACCACATATGCTGGCTGCAGCAGCACCATACTAGAACAGGGTCAGCAAGTGTCATTTGTGTCAGTGGGAGGAATAGTGCCCCATCACTGATACCAATGACGGAGCACTATTCCTCTCACTGACACCAATGATGGGGCACTATTCCTCCCAATGACACCAACGATGGGGCACTATTCCTCCCCCCCACTGACACCAACGATGGGGCACTATTCCCCCCCCACTGACACCAATGATGGGGCACTATTCTACCCCCCCACTGACACCAATGATGGGACACCATTCCTCCCACTGACACCAATGTTGGGACACTATTCCTCCCACTGACACCAATGATGGGGCACTATTCCTCCCACTGACACCAATGTTGGGACACTATTCCTCCCACAGACACCAATGATGGGGCACTATTCCCCCCACTGATACTAATGATGGGGCACTATTCCTGCCACTGATACCAATGATGGGGCACTATTCCTCCCACTGATACCAATGATGGGGCACTATTCCTCCCACTGATACCAATGATGGGGAACTATTCCTCCCACTGATACCAATGATGGGGCACCTATTCCCCCCACTGACACCAATGATGGGGCACTATTCCTGCCACTAATACCAATGATGGGGCACTATTCCTCCCACTGATACCAATGATGGGGCACCTATTCCCCCCACTGATACTAATGATGGGGCACTATTCCTGCCACTAATACCAATGATGGGGCACTATTCCTCCCACTGACACCGATGATGGGGCACTATTCCTCCCACTGACACCGATGATGGGGCACTATTCCTCCCACTGACAACAATGATGGGGCACTATTGCTCCCCTGGTGTGCATTGGAAGAGGGGTAGTCTTATACGGCGAGTATAGCCCAAACACTACATTTTAGCAGGAAAAGTAGGGGGTCGTCTTATACGCCCAGTCGTCTTATACACCGGCAAATACGGTAAGTACCTGTAATAAATAAATAAAATAATATCCTTAATTATTCGTATCGCACAGTTCTTCCCGTAGATGCATTTATTTTCAAAAGAAATGAATGGAAAAAGTATCTTTCTATTTCTTGGTTGATCATTAAATTACAAATGGTTCTGAATCATTTTATGTCATAATTATTTTTCATGATATTCTTATGATACTCTCCAGCATGCAGAGAAATTTCCAAAATTAGCAAATTCTTACAATGGTTTATTTCCCCTTTATGCACTATCCTGCTGTCACAAACAATGCACAACTTGAAAATGAAAAATCCAGCTTAATGAGTAAAATAAAATAAATGATATCTGAAGGTATGCACTCCACTATATAGGTACAAAGTCTGATTATTAGGGCGGACGGTCTGCAATTACTACTATCCCAGTGCTAACGGGTGCCATAAATGATAAACCCGGGGACAGTTAATATAGCTTTCCTGATACCAGAAGTATCATTTCATTGTTCATGCACCGTAGAGCAGACAGTAATATCTACACCAAGCCAAAATTGCATATAATGTTTGTTTTCCTTTGGCAATGTCCTCAAGAATAGGATCTGTTAAACCTATCTCACAGTCCTGTCAAAATATCTTCTTTCCCTCCCCCATAGACCATAAGCTGGTGAGTATATTTATAGCAATGACTTGTGTCCACTCAGCTGTCCCTATCAAACTTCAGATATCTGGAAAGAAAAGGGGGAGGATCGAGCTGTAAAGAGTCCCAGAGATCCTAACTTAGTCACTCTCCCACTGCCTGCTCTTTCTGCTTTGTAGGACCTATAGCTGCTGCCCTCCTTTAGGATCCTTGTTTTTGGGGATAATAAACTGCTGCTGAGCCAAGACTGCGACCTTTGTAAAGAGGTAGAGTCATTTTATCTTCTAACTTGTTCTCATTTCTTAATGTATTAGGAAGTTCAGTTACAACATTGTACCAAAATCTAACCCGGAAAGTGGCACCCAAGAGTTTCTATTTCTTGGTGGAAGGGCCTACAAGAAGCTAGGCTACAGCAAGGATCCAACACTTTCTCATTCCCATTGTTAAATGTTCGTTTCCTTGGTAAAGAGAGCATTTGTATCATGAATTGTCCTTGATAAAGGAAAAAACAAAATGTGCTTGTCAAAAGTCCCAAAACCAGGAAGATTTATATAAAAGAGACAAGTTGTCACATGTGCGTGTGTGTCAGGGATTGAAGACTAGAGGACACTTGTTGGTGGCCATCATTTCAGCTTTGGCAGTTATTAATATAATTTTTGCTTTATGTATTTACCTACTGTTGTTCTGTTTATTGGTATGTATTAGTTACTTGAGTGACCATTTCATGATTATTTTATGTCTCTTTGATGTTTTATGTGAAAACAATCAGCTAAAATAGAGAGCACACAACTGACATTTTTTTTTCTCAATTGTCTGTTGATAAATTCTCTTAAAATATTTATTTTCCAGTGTGGTCTTGCTAATAGTGGCATTGTTTCACTTCCTGAAAATAGCTGTACTTTTATTTTTTTAATTGCTGTGCTTAAACCATGTCTATTTGCTAGATGTTGTCAGCGTTTATTTGTCAGGCTGCTGCACTGAGACATATTTCAGATACTATATTTAGAGAGCTGAGAATTAGAAGGCACAGCAGTTAAACAGTTCCAAGTTTGCCTGTAGCCAGCCAATTGTTGCAGACAGTATTAAGTGGCTGCATATTTTAGGGTTCAGTCACACCTCTGCATTTTCCATGTATTTTGATTGTGGTGCAGTGCCTTTTAGATGAACTTTATGTACAGTTCCATTGATCCTAATGCAAGATATGTTTTTCTGGAAACTGTACCAAAGATGTAGCAAGAGGGATTTTTTTTTTTTACAATGCTTGCACTAAAATGCATAGATGTGAATGTAACCTTTAGGCAGTATTAGTCTCAGTTGACGCTGCCGTGACTTGGAATCTGACTTGTAAGACCCCAAGTCGCATGACATGTGAAATCCCATGTTAGTCAAAGAGAACCGTCTTAATTAGCACTACTGAAGTCACTCCAACGTTAGGAAAGATTTCTGTACTATTTCAAGGCAACTTCTATCCGACTTGTGCCCATAGACTTTAATGGAAGTCACCGCCAAGTCGGATCCTCATCTATATTGATGGGATTTTGATCTGACATTGCAGGAAGATTACCCAGGCAAAGTCGCATGACATGAAAGTCACGCATCAAGTTGCATCAAAGTCATACTCAAGTCCCATCAAGTTGCCAGGAAGTTGCCTGGCAAAGTCACACTGTAGGTCGCAGTAGTGTGAACCGAGCGTTAAACCCATGAACAAACATTTAACATACTGCATTTGTTTTCCTTTTTATTGTCCTGCCAGTAAGTCTGTTGTTTATTCAAAACAACAAGCTGACTTGCAAATGTAACAGATGGTTAAAGTGGTTGTAAAAGCTCAAGTTTTTTTTACTTTCACGCATTCTACGCATGAAGGTAATAAACCTTCTTTGTGCAGCAGCCCCCTCCCCCCAAATACTTACCTGAGCCTCATCTCGATCCAGTACTGTGCACGGGAGCTTCAGCTGTCCTAGGTCTATCACTGCTCATTGGCTGAGATATCAGTGGGAACCATTGGATCCTGCTACTGTCAATCACAGCCAGTGAGCCAATGAGGAGAGAGCGGGGTGGCGGGGCTGTGTGTGATTTGACATACAGAGCAGCAGCTCAGGAGCAAGCCTGCTTGCTGTGGGGGCACTTTGCCGGAAGGAGGGGCCAGGAGCATGGGCTGGAGACCCGATCAGCTTTTATTTATTTATGTACAACCTGTATCACAAAAGGAAAAAAACTGTTATTGTAACTGCTTAAAAAGTGTTAGCTGGAATTTGGCTACAATATTTTACTACAATATTTAGTAACCCTAAATATGCTAGTGCATCTAACACTACCCTTTTCTCAGAAAGGTGTCTCTGTGCTCCATCATCCAGACTGGAGCACTTTAATACAGGAGGTGTGTTACTGGTCAGATCATCAGGTGGAAACACCTTGGGAAAAAAATGAATGCAGCCACCATATATAAAGATGGGTAAGCAGCAATATATCTCATCTTTGGATTTAATACTGCCTTAACCTACATACCATGTATCAGTTCTATTGTAGATATTCACTGATCTCACCTTTGGATAACATAGCACACCTAATGCGATGGAAATATTAAAGGATAAGTACACCTTTGGGAACATGTTACATGTTCCACCTGTTTTTAGGGTGGAATATGTATCAATATGTATCATGTTCCCATTGCTGCAGCCGTCAGCTGCTGTCCCCTCCCCCCTCCCCCCTGACAGAAGTATGGGAAGAAGTTTCCCGTACTAGCTGTCAGCATTTAAAAACAGCAGCACTGTGCCGTGAATGAATCCCTTAGCGGCTGTTGGCTTGTAGTTCTCAATGAACTACCACAGCACTCCTCAGCACCTTCCTGTCAGAATATCTGCTTGCTCATACATCCTGTGGCAGATATACTGACATGTCTGCAGAAGACTTGCGTGGCACCAGCAATCTGCTGATCACTGGTGCAATGTTTTACAGGCTCCTGCAGCCAAAAATAATAAATGCACATTTTTTTACCTGCAAAAAAATGTGCATTTGTTATTTTTTGCTAAAAGATGCACTTATCCTTTAAGGCTGTCTTCACATCAGTGGGGTAAGTTCATGTGTACATCAGGGGCGGACTGACCATTTGGAAACTCGGCACTGCCCGAGGGCCCGGGGTCAGTAGGGGGCCCTATGAGATGCCCCTAGTACCTTTTTATAGGCTTTTTTTGAGTGTGCGCAAGGACACAGGGGCCCCATGATCCCCTATGGGGGCACCATGAGTTGTCAGTCAGCCCCTGGTCTACATATTAGCTTCTTGTTACCTTATGCATTACAAATCAATTGCTGTGATGAAGGAATGGGGGGGGGGGCAGGGCAAAGCCACCAGATCTGTGCCAATAGAAGCAGCTTTCCATGGGGGCACTCGCCAGAGAGGAGGAGCCTGCAGTACTCAGGGGGGGGGGGGGGGGATTAGGGCTGCTCTGTGCAAAATCAGTACACAGAGCAGGTAAGGATAACATGTTTGTTTTTTTAATTGAAAAAAAAAACCCTGAAGGTTTAATGTTACTTTATGAGGGGTACTAATCCTTCCTTACTTTATGTAAAACAAAAGTTTTGGCTATACTTGAAGACTGTAGTATTGGTTATTGCGGTGTTTACTTTTTTATTGCTAATGTATTTTCTTTCATATTTATGCATGCCCAATGAAAATATTTTCTATGGACGTGATCACTCTAAAACATTATACAGCTTTGAAAGTCTTAATGGCAGATGACTTTCATCACCATTAAGTACTCCCAGCTGCTTTTTTGTTGACACCTACCCTGCCTGACAATTAGATTTGTTGCATCATTATTGAAGGTCAGATAATGTATGACAGGCATAAGCAATATAATGTATTACATTCTACAGTGATTTACAGTGGACTTATCATTAAAATTCACACTTCAAGTGAATCATTAGGGCCCATATCAATGTCTTGAAATCAATCACATTATATTTTCATTGAAAAAAGTATCTCTTGCTAGAATACATAAATAACTGCTTCCAAGCACCTTCATATGATCTAACGTTTAAATAACCCAGATCAGTCACTATACTTGAAGACTGTAGTATTGGTTATTGCGGTACACCATAGATCTATAATCAATAGTCCACTCATTTATTTAAAGGGATCACATTAAAATAAGCGCATGTGTTTAAAAGCAACACAGGCTCTCTTCATCAAACATACCTGACAAAGAGGTTCTACGTGTTCTGGAAGCATTACATCAC